AAGAAAATACAAAAATTATTTTGTTTAAATAAAATTAAATTATAAATTGGTATTTATTTGAAAAACAAATATAATTTTTGTAGTTGAAGAAAAATAAATAAATACAAAAATATTTATTATTTTCTTTCATTCGAATAAACATTAGCTTCCAGTGAATATTTTTTTAATTTAAATAGGTATAAAAATTATTTGTTTCAAGTAAATATTTTTTTATATATTTAAATGTTATTTATCGAAATTGTTGAAAATAATTGTATTTCTTGGAATAATTGTTTTAAAAATTTTATAGAATAATTAAAATTTTTCTAGAAATTTTTTTATTTTTATGAAAATATTTGAATTTTTTTATTTATGAAACTAATTGATTTTTTGTGTAGAGTTGTATTATTTATGTAAATAATTAAAATCCTGCGATTTTAACATTGACATTTTAAATTTCGATTTTTAAAAAGTAAAAATGTGTCTTTTTCACATGTTTTATTATTTATTTTTGACGTTTTTATTTATTTTTGATTTTTCGACTTTGAACATTTTTATTTTGGATTTTTTTTACTTTAGACTTATTTTCTTGGATTTTTTGTCCTGTAATCTATTATTATTACTCTTACTATTATTATTTGTTTATTTATTTATTTCAATCGCAGCCTTTAATTATTTATTATTATTATTATTATTATTATTATTATTATTATTATTATTATTATTATTATTATTATTATTATTATTTTATTATTATTATTATTATTATTATTATTATTATTATTATTATATTATTATTATTATTATTATTATTATTATTATTATTATTATTATTATTATTATTATTATTATTATTATTATTATTATTATTATTATTATTATTATTATTATTATTATTATTATTATTATTATTATTATTATTATTATTATTATTATTATTATTATTATTATTATTATTATTATTATTATTATTATTATTATTATATTTATTTATTATTTTTAATAGGAAAATAATTTCTAATTACATAATTTAAATAATTAAAATTAGTTAGGACTCTCTAAATTTGAGTTAGTAAATTTTACTAATAAATAAATAAGTAGAAATTTTTATTTATTAGTAAAATTTACAAATTTAAAAGCAAAAAGTCAGTCACAGATTCAAATTATCAAATATTTTTATTAATGCAAATTTTAAGAGTGTATTAATAATTAATTATTTGTATATTTTATATTAGAGTAAAAATGTTTGCTCTCTCTATTATAATAGGCAAAAAATATATTTCTTCCTCCAATTATTTAAATTGTAGGCAAATTTTTTTGCAATTATTTAAACTCAGTTGAAAAAAGTGATATTATATTTTGAAGAGAGTGAGAGAGAAAAAAAAATGTTATTTGCTACTAATTAACAAGTTGAACTTTTTTTTTCTCTCTCAACCATTTGTGGAAACAGATCTTTTCGCCAATATAAAGAAAGGTTTTCTGCTTCACGAGGTAAATGATTCAATAATTTATTATATTCTTACACCACACGAGGATTTTCTGTGTGTGTGTTCATCTTTGTCGTTCTACTTCACATCTTTTCTGTCTTGTTCCTATGCAATTTTTTTTTCTTTTCGGAGAGAAAAAAAGAATACTCTTTTGCATATCAACAGCAAAAACGTACCTATCTTGTGTGTAAACTATTTCAGAAAATCTCCTTTTTTAAAAAAAAACCATTGCTTGCTTTTAATTTATCTGGAGTAATAAAAACACTGGAGTTTTTAATAAGGATCTCAAAAGAAGGAAATAGTTTTTTTTTTTGTAACGAGTGTCAGTTGATACGGCGTACATTTAGTATTTCAGGAGGGAAAAGAAAAAAGTTTTTAGGTTTTAAAATTGACGTGTGTAAAATTATTATTATTTTTTTTTATAGAAGGAAAGGGATAATTTTTTTTCTTTTTTGAAAAAAGTTAACAATTCTGAGAAAAAGGAAGTATATAATTAAGTGTGCTCTATTCTCGGTGATATTTTTTCCACTACATCAAGAGTACTTAAGTAACGAAGCTTGCAATTATAGTATTCGTGGAAAGTTGCCAGCAATAAATTTTTTTACTTTTATTTATTCTTTTTTTTTTTGCTTATTCTCTCTGAGAAAGTGAGAGAGAAAGAGAGAACTCTCCCGTGTAGAAATTTCCCCATTTGTCCCTATCTCTAGTAGGGACCTCGCTAGATTCTGACTAGAATCTCTAGTCTAGAAAAACTAGTCGGGCTTCAATCAAATTCTAGTTAGATAATTCAGACTGGAAAAAACTCACTAGGACCTTATCGATTTCAAACTAGACAAACTAGTGTACAAGTATGACATACATAAATTATCTTTCTATAGATATAAATAATTCAGATTAATAGATAGAAAAACTTACTAGCATTATTTATTAAAAAATTTTGCATATTATTTAATTATTTAATTTTTTAACATTTTTTAAACAAAATTTTAAATATTGTAGAATATTTTTACAAAAAATTCCAATAAAGCAATTTTATTAAATAAAAATCTTTCATTTAATATGTAAATTAAAAGAATAAAACATAAATAAATATTAATTATGTGGGTATAACTAATTTTTATTACCTAAATATTGTAATATTATTCGTAAAAATAATTTTTTTTTTAAAAGATATGTATGTGCAATTATACTTTAAAATGTTTTTCACAATTAATGCAAGTATTTAATAATAATTAAAAAGATGCTATAATATTATAATTACAATAATAAATTGAATAATATAATTATAATAATTATAGTAAATATAAAAAGCACTGCAATTAGTAATGTTTAATTTTTCAATAATGTCATAATTAATTATTATTAACTATCATTAGGAATGCAGAGTTAAATAAGAGTGATGAATAATAACTCCCTAAAATTCAAAATATTATGAATTAATTATATCTATAACGTTATTGAAAAATTAAACATAACTAATTTATTACATTACTTTTTATATTTTTATATCCTTATTAATAAAATCAGATGTCTGTCTGTACATTGCTTAAAACTTCAAAATGTTAACATGATTAGTTATTATGGACATCAGAGATTCCAAAAATGTTCTTAAAAAATTTAATGTATGTATGTATGTATGTATGTATGTATGTATGTATGTATGTATGTATGTATGTATGTATGTTTGTCTGTCACAAAAACTTTGTACCCCAATCACACAAAAACATGTGAATCGATTTAAGTCCAACTTGGTAGGTTATTAGGTATTGACCCAAGGAAGGTTTATAAATTTACAGATTTAAAAAATATTAATTAGAACGGGAGATATTCAATTTTTTCAAAAAATTCAAAAAATCGAAAATTTCAAAATTTTTTATTTTTCATGGATTGCTTTTGAAGTTTATATACTTGAGTATTATATGTTATTTAGTCACATTATAGCATAACTTTGCAAAAAATAAAGTCCTATAACTAATATGTAAGTATAAAAATGTTTTCAAAAAATCGAAAATTTCAAAATTTTACATTTTTTTATGGATTGCTTTTAAACTTTCTATATTTGAGTATTACATGTTATTTGGTCACATTTTAGCATAATTTTTCAAAAAATACTATTCTACAACTAAGATGTAAATATAAAAATATTTTCAAAAACTTGAAAAAATGGAAAATTTCCAAATTTCACAATTTTTAATGGATAGCTTTTAAACTTTCTAAAAATGAATATTATATGTTATTTAGTCAGATTTTATCATAATTTTGCAAAAAATACTATCCTACAAGAAATATAAAAAAATTTTCAATATATCAAAAAATCGATACTAATTACTATATGAAGTATAATTCAGTAGTATTTTTGGAGTCTCTGATTAATATTTTGATGTCAAAATAGTGCAATTCAAAATTATTTATCAAATCAATCTAATATTTTCAAGAAGTTCAGAAATATTGAAAATGGAAATTTTTTATGATTAAAATGATTTCGCAGGATGTCAAGAATTGTAAGTCACCTGTGATACAATACAAGCATATTATGCCACTAGGCAAAAACTTACATGTTAAAACGTTTTTTCATTTTAACTCTAGATTTAACTTTAAGAGATGTTTTGAGCAATGTAAAGACAAAAGTTAACACGGTGTCTATTTTTGTTTAACAAAATTCCCTGCTTTGTCCAAACTTTTCACGGTTTATCTCTTTTTTGTCAAATTTAAATTTACTTGATTTTATCCATAAATAAATCTACAAATGGCTATAAAAATTTACTTATTTTATGAAAATACTGTTTCTTAAGTTCATATAAATATAGATTGTATTACTTGCTGTCGTACAGTTTTCTGTTTATACTAATACATTTAACTGGGTATCTACCAAACGGGAAAAACTGTAAAAAGCTGGGAATATGCCGAACCGGGAATTTTCCTATCAAATTAAGAAAAAGTTTCATTATATTAATTCGCTTTTAAAAAATTGCTTTTTACTTCAATTTTTATTGATGTATAATATTTATGAAAACAGACCCGAGTCAAAATTTAAGCCCTACTTTCAGCCTAAAATTTAGGTCTTATGTTAGGTTTTAGCAGTCGTAACGTAGGGTCTACTTGCGATACAATTAGTTCCAATTAGACTCTACTATAACTCCAAAAACTGTATGGAAAATTTAATTTTTTTAATACATTAATTAAAGTACTACAAATTGATAAATATTGTTCTCTGCATTTGAATTGGTTAAAATAACTAATTTGATAACAAAAAGTCAATCACTGATTCAAATAGTAATATTTTCCTACTAAAATAGCTATAATGGTAACTAATTATTATTTTTTTCCGGTCAAATTAAATTCCCTAGCTATTTCCTGATTTTCCAGATTGGTAGAAACTTAAATGTATTGGTAGAAACTAAAACCCGTCGAAGACGGGTACGACAGCTAGTTTACTATAATTGTTTTAATAAATAATAATAATAATAAATAATATAATAATAAATAATATATTACAATATTTAGTTAATAAAAATTAATTATATCCACATAATTAATATTTATTTATGGTTTATTCTTTTTTAATTTACTTAATAAATAAAAGATTTTGTTTAAATAATTAAAAAATTAAGTAATCAAATAATATGCAAACTTTTTTAATAAATAATGCTTGTAAGAATCATCTAACTAGAATTAGATTGGAACCCGACTAGTTTTTCTCGACTAGAGATTCTAGTCAGAATCTAGCGAGAGCCCTACTAGAGATAGGGACAAATGGCGGAATTTCCAAACGGGATGTACTTTAAGCGGAAGTCCATCCAACCTATCATGGCCGAGAGGTATGTGTATCCGTCTGGTGTCCCCAAGGTCCAAGGTTCGAACCCTCATAGGCACGAGATTTTTCGTGTGCAACAATCATTAATAATGTTAATATGAATGGAGAATTCAATTATAAATAAGTTAAGTTGAAAAATAATAATTTTTAAAACCGGTAGAAGTGAACTAGAACTTCTAGTCGGGGCCCTATCAACTAGAGCGTGACAAAATCGACTAGAACCCCACCAGTTTCTCTAGTTGGAGCCCTTTTTCAAATGGGGTAAACTGGTGAGGTCCCCACTAGAACCCGACCACCATTTCTACACGGGCTGCGATTGCTCAAAGGAAAATTGATCCTAAGATTGCGAAGTACTTTATAATTTTATTTCTCGTTTAGTGACTTTAAGGAACTTTTTAATTTTTTTAACAACATTTCTATACGCTCTTTACATTTTTTTCTCTGATCATTAATTATGATAGTTATGAATTATAAAAATGGTAATAATAATAATAATAATAATAATAATAATAATAATAATAATTATTCAGATTATTAATTTTTTTAACAACTTTTCTATGTCTTTTTACATTTTCTCTCCTGTTATTAATTATCACAGTTATGAATTATAAAAATGATAACAATAATAAAAAAAATAATAATTATTATTATTATTTTAAATTCCTTCCCTTTAATTATTATCTATTATTACTAGCTAAAATAACGTGCGCGTGTGGTTTCTTTTTATATGGTACATAAACATTTACTTAAAAAAATTTTTCATATTAAATTATATTTTGAAAAGAAAAGTAAAAATTTCAAATTAATTGAATGTTCAAACGTTTACAATTTTCATAAATAAATAAATGAATTTTATTAGAAATTTTAAAAATTACTTAGGTTTTCAAAAATTTTAATAATTTAAATTCATCTTAAATTTGTTAAATTTTTTACTATTTATTTAATTAATTATTAAAAATAGTGGATTTATAGACGAATTTTACTCAAAAACACTAAAAAAAAAATTGAATTTTGGAAAAATTATAAATGATTGCATAAATTCAATTATTTTCAAAAGTAATTAAATTCTTTTCAAAAATTCAATTATTTTAAAAATTTTTTTATAAAATTCTTGGAAAAATTTAATTTTTTAAAAATTTTTGTCAAAATTTCAATTATTTTCAAAAAATTTCCTCAATTTCATATGAATTCTATTATTTACAAATTTTTAGTAAATTTCTTTGCAATAATTTAATTATTTTCAATAAATAATCAAATTGTTTACAGGAATTGAATTATTTTCATAAATAATAAAATTCTTTTTAGGAATTCAATTATTTTCGTAAATATAAAACTTATCGCAGAATTTCAATTATTTTTAAGACAATTTTAATCGAATTTCTCGTAAAATGTAATTGTTCTTAACAATTTTAATTAAAAACGTCAAAAGAAATCAATGATTTAAAAATGTTTTGATAAAATTCTTTATGAGAATTTAATTTTAAGAAATATTTAATTATTCAATAAATTATTTATTATTTATTTTTGCATTTAAATAATTGAATTCTCGTCGAATTTTCTAATAAAAATTGATTTAAAAATTGATTTCAGTTAAAATTTTAGATTTCAATATTTATTATTCAAATTATTTAAATATTCAAATAATATTTGAATACTAAAAACGTAGCATGAATTTTAAGAAATAATTGAATTTTGAAAAGGTTTTAAATTAAATTCTTTGAAAATCTTAATTTTTCATATTTTTATCGAACAATTCTGTGGAATTAATTATTTTGAAAAAGTTTAATTGAATTTTTTTCTGAAATTATTTGAAGTATTTATTTTTTAATACGTATTCAATGGAAGAATTTCTGAATAATTAAAATTTCGTAAAATTGAATTGTAAACAAATAAATTTGAAAATTCTCAAAGAATTTTTTTTAAAAATTCTAGAAAATAATAATTGAATTAAAATGATGAAGATAATTTTGAAAAAGTTACAGTAACTCGTTTATCTTTAATTTATTATAAAAAAAATTAAGAAACCGATTACTCCGGAGTAATCGATTTCTTCATGTTTTATAATAAATATTCTTATAAGTTGTTAAATTTCAAAAAGGTTTGAATTTGAATTTTTTGAAAATCTTGATTCCTGTGGAAAAATAATAATGATTAAATATTTATTTAGAAAAGAAGTTATTGATGTTTTAAAATAATTTTACAATCATTTTTAACAAATAGAAATTTTGTAAATATTTTTTCCACAATAAATTTATAATTTCTTAAACAAAATTTGATTTATAACATTATTTTTTTTACTTAAAACTTGTACTTTGTTTATGAATTGTAATTAAGAAGCAGAAAATGTGCAAAATATTTTCTACTTTCTAATTTTAATTTTCTAACAATTTTTTAATTTTTTTTTTAGAAAAAAGGAACCAATAGATGCATAATTTCGATTTGTCAAACGATTAAGTTTTTTATATAAAAAAAAGGATATTATTATTATTATTATTATTATTATTAAATTGGTGAATTTAAGTTTTTTTCTTTAAATCTTAATTTTTGTTGTCGCTAATTTTGTCTTTGTTGATGATTACTTTTACAGTTCTGGATTGCATTGTATCGGAATGGGGTGAGTGGTCGAGTTGCAGTAACAAATGTGGAATTGGAGTTCAAACCAGGACTCGTGTTGCACTTCAGCCAGATCAAAATGGAGGGAAGCATTGTCCCCAAATGGAGCATTCCAGATCTTGCCAGAGTTATGATGCATGTCACCGGAAAAGTCATTTGCATCATAACCAGGGTAATTTTGACAAACTGATTTAAATTACGAGCAAAAGACAAATAGATACTGGAAAACGGAGTTTATAATTTAGATTTTCATTTTAATTTCATTTTCAAAGCAATTTCACATTTTTTTCCCTTCACTTTATTCGATTTTTGTTCTAGAATAATTAGATTTTTGTATTTTAATTTTATTATTAAAGTGATTTCAAAATTTTTTTTTACTTTTTATTCAATTTTTGTCCTGTTGGGAAATTAAGGATGTAATTGAAGTAATTAATTTATGAATTTAAACAAATTTTGATTAATTTTTAAATTAAAAAAAATAATTAACAATTAAATTGATTAATTTTAAAATTAAAACGTCTTGTCTGACTATAATCACACTATTCTACTTAGAATATTTAATTATGATTCTCTGATCTAATCTTTAATTATTTTCAAGGTTCTATGTCTGACTATAAACATCTTTTTCTACTTGACATAGAAAATTGTTTATTCCTTAGTATTAAAAATTTATTGTTTGACTATAATTACCCTATTCTACTTAGATTTCCGCATTAGTCGATATATCCTTTAATTTATAGTAGATAAACATTTCTTGTCTGACTATAATAAATTTTCTCTAGGTACTTTGAAAATCGAATTCTGTTGATTAATAAAAATTGTCATGTCTGACTATATTTGACTGGTTCTACTTGGAAAAAAATTCACTGATTCTTGAATTCTCTCTAATTTGAAAATTTCTTGTCTGACTAGAATTTCTTGTTTTTCACTGAAATCAATTTTTTCAATTTAAAACAAACAGAAGTCTTTGTTTTACTATTAAAACGTTTTGTCTGACTATAATCACTCTGTTCTACTTAGAATATTTAATTATAATTTTTTTATTTAAACTTTAATTCTTTCTAACTTCAACTTTTCTGGTCTGACTAAAAAGACTTTCTTCTACTTGAAATAACGAGTAGGTTATATTTAACTATTAAAAATTCCCGTCTGACTATAATCGCTCTATTCTACTTATAATATTAAATAAATATAAAAATATTTATTAAATATTAAATAATATTAAATTATAATACTATTAATATTTATATTACTATTTACAATTATATTATTATTAATTATTTAATAATATTAAATTAATTACTCAAAAATTTCCCTGCATCTATAATTGGAACCTGTCTATAATTGGAATACAATTCTGTTTCTTGAATAATAAAAAAATTGTGTCTGACTATATTCGACTGGTTCTACTTAGAATAAAAAAATATTTATGATTTACTACTTAAAAATTTCTTGTTTGGTCAAAATTAATTTCTACTACTTGTAATAAATATTTGTGTATTTTTCACTTGTAAAACGTCATGTCTGACTATAATCACGCTATTCTACTTAGAATATTAAATTACGATTCTCTGATTTGATCGTTAATTCTGTCTTATTTCAAAATTTTTTGTCTGACCAGAATCACCTTTTCTACTTGAAATAAGTAGTTGTATATTAGTTACTATATTAAAAATTCTCGTCTGACTATAATCACTCTATTCTACTTAGATTTTCAAACCAGTCGATTTACTCCATAATTTATACAAGATAGAAATTTCTTGTCTGACTATAATAATTTTTCTCTACTTTGAAAACCGAATTCTGTTTTTGTTTATTAAAAATTCTCATGTCTGACTATAATTGCCTGATTCTACTTAGAACAATAAATGTTGTTTTTTACAATTAAAAGATATCACGTCTGAAAATAATGATCTTTTTCAACTTTTGAAACAATAAGTTTTTTCTACCATTACTTAAAAATTTTATGACTGATTATAATTTCTCTTTTCTACTTCAAATTGTTTTTTAACAATTATTTATTATTCACTTAATTCTTTCTTTCTTTTTCCAATGTTTCTTCAATTATCTATAAAAAAAAGTTCACATGCAATCAATTCTCATTTTTAATTTCAATATTTAATCATGTCTGACTATAATTATTGTATTCTACTTAAAATCATAAATTTGGTCCAAAATATTTAAACTTCAGCTGCTTCTAATTACTATTAAATTTCCTGTCTGACTAGAATTACGATTTTCTACTTAAAATACAATTCTATAGGCCGAATACGAACAAAATTTTATGTCTGACTATTTTCGACTGGTTCTACTTAGAATACTGAATTCTTTGCGATGTACTATTTAAAATTTTCTTATTTGTCCAAAATCACTTTTTACTACTTGTAATAAAGACTTGTGTATATTTCATTATTAAAACGTCTTTGTCTGACTATAATCATACTTTTCTACTTAGAATATTAAATTATGATTCTCTGATTAAATTAATTCTTTCTAATTTCAAGGTTTCTTGTCTGACTGGAATCACCTTTTTCTACTTAAAATAAAGAAGAAAAAATTATTAACTATAGAAAATTCTCGTCTGACTAGAAACACATTATTCTACTTAGATTTCCGCAGCAGTCGATTTATGATTTATATTAGATGAACATTTCTTGTCTGACTATAATAAACTTTCTCTACTTTGAAAACCGAATTTTGTTTTTAATTCCAAAAAATTGTCATGTCTGACTATAATGGCCTTATTCTACTAATAAAAATAGATTCTTTTTACAATTTAAAAATACGTCTGACTATAATGTCCTTATTCTACTAATAACAATAGATTCTTTTTACAATTTAAAAATACGTCTGACTATAATGGCCTTATTCTACTAATAACAATAGATTCTTTTTACAAGTTAAAAATACGTCTGACTATAAAGGGTTGATTCTACTAATAACAATAGATTCTTTTTACAAGTTAAAAATACGTCTGACTATAAAGGGTTGATTCTACTTAAACTACTTGAATATTATGAAATACATATTATTATCTATCAGAAAATAAATATTTATTTGTATAAAATAATTTTTATTCAAGGCAATTAAACTGTTAATTATTATTTATAAGATAGATATTAGTTTATTTTTTTAGAAGCTCATGTTTTTGCAGATATCAAATTGAGACAAAAAACGTATCAAAACACGTTGCTTTGCAACTATTTTAAATACGTTTTTTGTTCCAATCTGCTATCCTCAGAAAAACAGTGTAAAAATTGAATTTTTCTAAAAGCAAAAGACAGAATTCTGAAAAATAATTTTCCGCTCTCTTTTATTTTTTCAGAGGTTGCACTAGTTTCACCTGCCATGAGACCGAGTCCCAGTCAGAATTCTATCAGGAAAGTTACTCCAGGGTAAGTAGTGTCTCGACTCTCTCTCTCTCTTGATTCTATATACGTCTATATATATAGTATATACACGTGCAAATAATGGCGTTGAAAGCTCACCGGAAAATTATTCGAAGCGGGATGAAATGAGTATAGGGGGGAGGGGGGGGGGGTGAGAATGCGAGTTCAGCTGCTGCTAACATCCACCGTCGTTTGTGTAAAGTTACCTTGATCAAGGTTGACGCGCTTTCGTGTATGTATATATACATAAACTCACTACTCACGTTTATAACTTACCTTGTAGGTACGTACCTTACACGTTAGGTTAGAACTTGAGACTGTTTCAATAACTCTTCGTTTCACAAGGTGAAACGAAAAGGGATGGAGATTCATGCATGACTTTATTGGTACCGCACAGTGAGTGTGCAGTACTCTCCTCCATCTATTCTCTTTCTTCTTAATATATTATATGTGTATGTACATGGTCTCTAACCTTTTATCCCTTTAAATTCCCTCAATGGAACCATAAGAGATATTTTAGGATTAGGTACATTTTTTTTACGAAATATATAAGGTCTGGTTACGCTGGGAGGAAAGCACTAGATAAAATTTTTTTTTGTCTGACTATAATCACTCTATTCTACTGAATTTATTCCTTAATTTTTATTAAAAACTACAGGTTTAGTCAGAATTACTTTTCTCTACTTTAAACAACAATTTGTGTATTTTTTACTACTTACAAATTAATGTCTGACTATAATCACTCTATTCTACTTAGAATAAAATATTCCGAACCGCTAGACTTATTTTTTTTTATAATTATTACTACTGAAAATATTTTTTTCAAGCTAAATCACTTTTTTCTATTTGAAAAAAGATTAATCTTTGTTTATTATTAAAAAATCGCCTTGTCTGACTATAATCACTTTTTTCTACTTATAATTCCAAACAACTCGATTTCTTCTGTAATTTATACTACTTTCAAATATGCCAGTGTGTTTACAATCTTTTTCTACCGTGGAAAATGATTCTGTTCTTTTTTTTACAAAAAATTCCACGCCTGACATATAATCGACTAGTTCTACTGAAAACAGAAAATTTTGAACCAATCGATTTATTAATTAATTTTTACCAATTAATATAATTTCCTGTCTGACCAAAATAACCGTTTTCTACTTAAAATAAAAAGTCGTTTTTTTGCTATCAAAAAATTCTTGTCTGACTATAATCAGTGTATTCTACTTAGAATTGAGTTTACTGTCTACATAGATTTACTCTTTACTTTTTTGTAGTTTCAAAATTTCCTGTCTGACTAGAATCACCTTCTTCTTCTTATTTAACAGTAAAATTGAAAATTTTTTACTATTAAAAATTCTCGTCTGACTATAATCGCCCTATTCTACTTACAATGGTGAATTATGAACCACTAGACTTTGTCCTTATGATTTTGACTACTTAAAATTTCTTGTTTGACTGAAATCTATTTTTTCAATTTAAAACAAATATAAGTCTTTGTTTTACTATTAAAAAACGTCTTGTCTGACTATAATGACTCTATTCTACTTAGAAGTGTAAAAAAACTCGATAAAAATTTTTTTTGTCTGACTATCATTTCTCTATTCTACTAAGAAGTCTAAACTACTAGATAAAATTTTTTTTGTCCCACAACAACCACTTTATTCTACTTAAAATTCATAATTTTAATTTACTAATTTTTTTTCTTTAATTTTCACATATTAAAAACTACAGGTTATTGACCAGAATTACCTTTTTCTATTTTAAATAAAAATTTGTGTGTTTTTTAATACTTAAAAATTCTTGTCTGACTATAATCGCCCTATTCTACTTAAAATAGTAAATTGTAATTCACAACATTTGTTCTTTAATTTTTTCTCATTCGAGGATTTTCTCTCTGACTAAAATCACCTTTTTCTACTGTAACTAAAGTATTTTGACTTTTTTTAGTTTTAAAAAATTTTTGTCACCCTACTCAACCCTATCTTTTTGGAATTAATGGCTAGGAAATTTTTTTGTCTGACTATAATCACTCTATTCTACTTAAAATTCATAATTTTAATTAACTGAATTTATTTTATAATTTTTACAAAGTATAAAATACTAGTTTGACTAGAATTAACTTTTTTTTTACTTTAAATAATTATTTCTGTATTTTTTACTGTTTAAAAATTATTGGCTGACTAAATCCACCTTTTTCTACTGTAAATAAAGAATTTTTATTATTTTACTTAAAAAAAATTCATGTCTATCTTTTATAATCATCATATTCTACTCTATTCTTCTAGAATTAATTGTCTGACTATAATCACACTATTCTACTTAAAATTTATAATTTTGATTCTCTAGATTTATTCTTTGATTTTTACAAATTAAAAAGTACATGTTTGATCAGAATTACCTTTTTCTATTAAAAAAAAACATTTGTGTTTTTTATTTATAAAAAAAATGCCACGTCTGACGTATAATGGACTAGTTCTACTTAAAATAGAAAATTTTGAACCAATCAATTTATTCTTTAATTTTTTCAATTAGTGTAATTTCCTGTCTGACTGAAAACATTTTCTTGTCTGACTATTAATACCCTATTCCACTTAAAATAAAGAAATACAAATTTATTCTTCGCAAATTTCACTGTTTAAATTTTCTTGATCGATCAGAACTATTAAATTATAATTCTCTGATCTAATCTTTACTTATTTATAATTTGAAATTATCGTGTCTGACTAGAATCACCTTCTTCTACTTGAAATGAAGAATCGTGTATTTTTCTTTAAAAAAATTGTCGTCTGGCTATATTATTCTACTCATATTTCCGAACCAGTCGATTTATTCTTTAATTTACAGTAGATAAACATTTTTTGTCTGACAATAATAAACTTTTTCCACTTGGAAGCGCTAATGATGTTTTTGATTACGAAAAATTGTCACGTCTGACTATAATCATCTGTTTCTACTTAGAACCATGAATTTTGTTTTTTACAATTAAAAAATACCACGTCTGACTACAATGGCCTTATTCTACTTGAAGTACTTGAAAATTATTAAATAAATATTTGTATCTATCATAAAATAAATATATTTATTTTCATAAAGTAATTTTTATTCAAGGCCATTAATTTTTAATAAGAGGTTGACTTTTTGCTCTTGAATTAGTAAATTTAAAGAGTTAATAATTTTTTTCTACTCTTATTTTATTTAAGAAATAATAATATTACAATTTCTAATAATAAAATTATAATTTCTAATAATAAACCGTTTATTCGTATAGTATTAAACTATATATAGAGTTGTGAATAAGTATATGTAGATATAGTAGAGAAGAACCTATTTTCATATTCTGTTGAAAATTGTCGTAATATTATTTTACAATTGTGGTTTTCCATGGAAGAATACAATTTTGAATATCTATTGTGGGATAATCCTTGAAGCGAAATAGCGATTTTAGTAACTAGTTTAAATTCACAAGTAACATACCTATATGTAAAGAGCTGTGCTGATCTTCCGAGAACTGAAAGCTTCCCTTGTCTGAGAAAATCTGCATTTCCCGGCATATTAAGGTTGTAATTCCGAATATATAAACTATTCAAGGCATTTCGATTGAATTGCAATTTGTAATTTATTATCTATATTTCTCCGGTAAGAATGCAAATTCTCGTCTAAATATTTTTTTAAAATATTTTCTCTATTATTACCAAGTTAATTGTATTCTTTGACACTTTTCGACTTGAAAACTAAAAATTATTATTTAGTTAATATTAATTAATTATTTTATTATTTATTTGGTGCCAAAAGGTTTATGATTAATTATTACTGTCAATTTATTTATTTATTTATTTAAATTTCTTCATTTATTTACATTTATTTATTTATTTATTTAATTTTCTTCATTAGTTACATTTATTTTTTATTTACATTTCCTTATTTACATTTACGCGATTATTAGCATTTATTTTTTTATTTACATTTATCTTTGTATACATTGGGTGGTTGTTATTAATAATTTAGAGTATTACGACTCTTTTTCTCGTGCAATAAATAATACTTGGCGAAAATAAAACATTTCGCTGGGTGTAATGTCGGAAACGTTTGTCCGCTTAAAGAGAGCATTTGTCTCTTCACATTATACGGCGAAGGACGTGTCTGTCTAGAGTTTTCTTTTTCCACTGCTCGGCGAGTTTGTTTATTTAAAGACTATACACATTCGTAGCGTTTGTCTATAGACACAATCTTTTTTTGTTCTTGAAAACGTTGTCCCACTGACATCGACAATTGACTTTTAACTACTTTAAATGTAAATGTCATGTCTGTCTATAAGTGTCTTTTTCTACTTGGAACTATGACTTTTGACCTAATGAACTTATTCCTTCCCTTTTACTATTTCAACAGTGCAATGTCTGACTGTTTTTAAAATTTTCTACTTGGAATTAATCTTTCAATTTTTTATTTGAAATTTTCCTCAAATTTTTTCTTAATTCGTACTCTACTTAGTCTTAATTGCAGTTAATTGTAGTGAATACAATTACTCTTGAATACTTAGAATTTGAAATTATTCGATTTATTCTGTAATTATTTTACTACTTAAAAAATGTCTCGTCTGACTAAAATCACCTTTTTCTGCTTGAAATGAAGGGTTTTACATTTTTTTTTAAATTAAAAAATTCTTATCTGACTATAATCACTGTATTCTACTTAAAATTCATAATTTTGATCCACTAGATTTATTCTGTAATTATTATACTACTTAAAAATGTTTCTGTCTGACTAAAATCACCTTTTTCTACTTAGAATAAAGAGTTGTTTACATTTTACTTTTTAAAAATTCGCGTCTGTCTATAATCACCCTTTTCTACTTAATATTCTGATCCACTCGATTTATTTTCCAATTTTAATTACTCAAAAATTTCCCTGTATCTATAATTGGAACCTGTCTATAATTGGAATACAATTCTGTTTCTTGAATAATAAAGAAATTGTGTCTGACTATATTCGACTGGTTCTACTTAGAATAAAAAATATTTATGATTTACTACTTATAAATTTCTTGTTTTGTCAAAATTAATTTCTACTACTTGTAATAAATATTTGTGTATTTTTCACTTGTAAAACGTCATGTCTGACTATAATCACGCTATTCTACTTAGAATATTAAATTACGATTCTCTGATTTGATCGTTAATTCTGTCGGATTTCAAAATTTTTTGTCTGACCAGAATCACCTTTTCTACTTGAAATAAGTAGTTGTTTATTAGTTAATATAATAAAAATTCTCGTCTGACTATAATCACTCTATTCTACTTAGATTTTCAAACCAGTCTACCATTACTTAAAAATTTTATGACTGATTATAATTTCTCTTTTCTACTTAAAATTTGTTTTTTAACAATTATTTATTATTCACTTAATTCTTTCTTTCTTTTTTCAATGTTTCTTCAATTATCTATAAAAAAAAGTTCACATGCAACCAATTCTCATTTTTAATTTAAATATTTTATCATGTCTGACTATAATTATTGTATTCTACTTAAAATCATAAATTTGATCCACAAGATTTATACTTTAACTGTTTCAAATTAATATCCCATGTCGAAAAATTTCATGGAAGTACCCCCTGGAAATTCCATGGAAATTCTGCAAATTTTATATTTTAATATTATTTTAACGTTTTTATTATAATTAGAATCAAATAATAATCTTTGTTGCAATTTATTTGCAAAACTTGAATGAAATACGCATTCTGCAAAAAAATTGCAACACAACTTATTATTAGACTCTAATTATAATAGAAATGTAAAAATATTATTAAAATAAGAAACTTAAAGAATTTCCCTAATATTCAGACAAAATTTTGAATTTTCCCCTGACCCCAAAGACTATTCTGATTCACTCTAAAAATTATAAGATACTCAAAAAACTGTTCTATTACATTTCATTACAAATTTTTTTAATTATAAAATTATTCGAAAACATCAATAACTTCTCTTTTAAACTTTAATAAAATCCTTTCCAAGAATTCAACTATTTTCATAAATAATAAAATTCTTTAGAGGACTTCAATTATTTTTTAAAAAATTCTTCACAGGACTTCAATTATTAAAAAAAAATATAATAAAAATTCTTTACAAGAATTCAATTATTCTCCTAAATAATACAATTTTTCATAGGATTTCAATTATTTTTAATATAATTTTAAATAAATTCCTCGAAAAATGGAATTATTTTCAAAAGTTTTTAGCAAAAATTTAATTAAATTTCACATATAATGAAATTCTTCGCTGAAATTCAAATTAATGAAATATCAAATTAATAAAATATCTTAAAAGAATTCAATTATTTTGAAAAACTGTAAGAAAATGCGTTCCAAGAATACAATTATTTTCATAAATAATACAATTAGGACTTCAATTATTTTTAATATAATTTTAAGTTAAATTCTTCGAAAAATGTAATTATTTTAAAAAATATTCAAAATTTAATTATTTTCAAAAATTTATGCTATAATGCTTTTAATATTCAATTATTATGTAAAATTTGAACTGAAATTCATTTTTAAATCAAATTTTATTCGAAAATTCTACGATAATTAAATTATTTAAATGCAAAAATCACTAATTTATTTTAAAAAAATTAATGTTTTTCAAATTTTTTTTATTTTTTGAAAATAATTGAATTTCTACAATCATTCGTAACTGCTTCTAAATTCAATTTTTTCCATTACTTTAATAGAAATTCCTGACATTTTCCTGACCTGCGGTAACCCTGGAAATGTTAAAACTTAAAATACTTTTAAAATAAAAAACTTTTAGAATTTCCATGCCAACTCCACGGAAATTCCATGGAGAAATGGGGGTACTTCCATGGAATTTTTCAACGTGAGATTAAATTTCCTGTCTGACTAGAAGTACGTTTTTCTACTTAAAATACAATTCTCTAATTACTAACAAAAATTTTCTGTCTGACTATTTTCAACTGGTTCTACTTAGAATACTGAATTCTTTGCGATTTACTATTTAAAATTTTCTTATATGTCCAAAATCACTTTTTACTACTTCTAATAAAGACTAGTGTATATTTTAATATTAAAACGCCTTGTCTGACTATAATCTCTCTATTCTACTTAGAATATTAAATTATAATTCTCTGATTTTATATTTAATTCATTATAATTTCAAAGTATCTTGTCTGACTAGAATCACCTGTTTCTACTTAAAATAAAAAGTTGTTTATTGTTTACAGATCCCGTCTGACTAGAATCTCCTTTTTCTACTTAAAATAAAGAGTTCTTTATTTTTTACTATTAAAAAACCCCGTCTGACTATAATCACCCTATTCTACTTATATTTCTGAAACAATCGATTTATTCCTTAATTTATGGTAGATAAATATTGCAATGTCTGGCTATAATAAATTTATAACCTTTATCTACTTAAAATATGTAATTCTTTATTTTTTTGTAGAAAATAATTGAATTTTTCCTGAATTACTTTTACAAAAGAAATTAAAATTAAAAGATATTATTAAAATCGCCTTGTCTGACTGTAGTTGTCTTGATCTACTTAGATAAATGTATTCCTCTTAGTTTACTACTGAAAAAATTCCGTCTGACCATTGTCACCTTTTTCTACTTGGAATAAATAATATTAAAGTTTCCATCTTTATAATTTTTTCATTAAAATTTGTTTTGGTATAAAATTTTTGAAATAGAATTTTTTTGGTTATAATTTTTATTATTATAAGAATAAGGTGGAATGAATAGAAAAAAATAAATATTAATTAAATAAAATAAATATTATTGAAACATTTTAGATAATTAAAGGGCTACTATATTAAGGTATGTTAAATTCTAGAAATTGCAGTATTGTATTGCATATATGGGGTCAATTTATTTGAGTATGTAAGGTTGATTAGTTCGGCATATGCCGACAGATAAACATAGGTCGTTGTGCTTGGCATAACAACACGGCTCGATTAATGGTCTATGTCGGTCAATAGTGTGTAAGGAATTGGGTTTGGCGTATATGTTTGCAGCCCAATAGGTGAGTTTGACTTCGACAAGAGTTGTGCGGTTGATCAAGTATAAACTCGAGTTTACTCACCTCCGACCGTACCCTTTTCTCCCGCATCTTCCCAGAAAATCGAATTTCTCCACATCGATCAAAGTCTTCATTAAATTCTCATTAATGCCCATTATCTGCATGCGAAAGAGAATTTAAATTGAACGTTTAACATTAAATAATTACCTTCTATATTGTATTTTATTGTTATATCTCTGTTTTTATTTGTCTCAACTTTTTTTTTATGGAAAAATTAACACTACTTTATTGTTATAATATTATATTGTTATATTTTGTGAAATCTTTGAATGTCTGACTATTTTTGAATTTTTCTACTTGAAGTAAATCGTAAGGTGTTAAAATAACACCAGAACGGATTAAAATAATCTGCTACAGTTTAATCACCTCTAGGATTAAATTAACACAAGAAAGGATTAAAATAATTCATTGTACTTCTTGAAAATTATTTTCATCAATTCAATTCAATTATTATTTTCAAAAAGTTTTAACGAAAATTCTACTTTAGATCAATTATTTTTAATAATTTTCGAAAAAGTTCTTTGGCAAGTTTTAAATCCATTTGTTTACAATATTCAATTTCACGACATTTCAATTATTCGTAAATTCTTCAATTATAAATGCATATTAGAAAATAAAAACTTCAAATAATATAAAAAAATTGAATTTAACTTTTTCAACAAAATTAATTTCAAAATTTTATTATTTCTAAAAATTCACGCTTTATTGCTTTTAATATTCAATTATAATCTAAAATTTTAATTGAAATTCATTTTTAAATCAATTTTTATTTAAAACATTTACAAGAATTCCATCATTTAAATAAAAAAAAGTAAATAATTTATGGAATAATCAAATGTTTCTCAAAATTGAATTCTCATAAAAAATTTTATCAACAAAATTTTTAAATAATTGAATTCTTTTGTCGAATTTTATTAAAACTTGCACGAAAATAATTACTTTTTTCAAGTGAATCAATTAAAATTTTTTTAAAAATAATTAATTATTAGTAAAAATAATTGAATTCTTAAGAAGAATTTTATTACTCTTAAAAATAATTAGGAAATTATAATTATAATATCTACAATTCTAACTGAACTTCATTTCTAAAACAATTTTTATTAGTAAATTCTACAAGAATTCAATTATTGAAATACAAAAATAAATAATTTATTAATTTAATGTTTCTTAAAATTTAATTCCCATAAAAAATTTTATGAACAAATTTTTAAATAGTTAAATAAATAAAATTTTTAAGAATAATTACATTTTTCGAGGAATTCGATTAAAATTGCATAAAAAATAATTGAAATTCTGCAATGAGTTTTATTATTTATGAAAATAATTGAATTACTAAAGAATTTTATTATTTACGAAAATAATTGAATCCTTGTAAAAATTTTATTATTTATGCAAATAATAATTGAATTATTACGAAGAAATTTATGAAAAATTGTAAATAATTGAATTCCTGTAAAAATTTTTATTATTTATGAAAATAATTAAATTTTTTTTTAATGTTGGAATTCCTTTGGAAAATTTTATAAAAATAGTAGATATTGACAATCATTGAATTTGAGAGAACTTTTGAAAATAATTGGAAATTTTGCCAAGAATTTGTGTTTTGTGCGTTTGTCAAAAATGGTTTGTCTGACTATAATCATCTTTTTCCACTTGTAACAACGACTTATGTATTTTTTCCTATGAAGGTGGCTGACTATAATCATTCTATTCTACTTACAATAAATTAATTTTGATCCACTAGATTTATAAATTAATTATTTTAATTAAAAAATTTCTTGTCTGACTAGAGTCATCTTTTTCTACTGGAAATAAACAATTTTGTAATGATTCCATTTTAAAAATTCTTGTCTGTCTCTAATCGACCTATTCTACTTAGAAATAATAATTTTGATGCACTAAATTGATACTTTCATTTCTTCTAATTAGGAAACTTCCTGTCTGACTAAAATCACCTTTTTCTATTGTAACTAAAGCATTTTGATTACTTTTTAATTTTAAAAAATACTTGTCACCCTACTCTACCCTATCTTTTAGAATTATTTGCTAGGAAATGTTTTTTGTCTGACTATAATCACTCTATTCTACTTAAAATTCATAATTTTAATTTACTAAATTAATTATTTAATTTCTACAAAGCAGAAAATACTAGTTTTACTAGAATTAACTTTTTCTACTTTAAATAATAATTTGTAAATTTTTAACTATTTTAAAATTCTTGTCTGACTAGAATCACCTTTTTCTACTTTAAATAAAGCATTTTGATATTTTACTTTAAAAAAAACTCTTGTCTGCCTTATAATCACCCTATTCTTATAGAATTAATTATTGGGAAAAAAAATCTTGTCTGACTATAAACAGTATATTCTACTTAAAATGCATAATTTTGATCCACTAGATTTATGCTGTACTTATTATGCTACTTAAAAATGTTCTTGTCTGACTAAAATCACCTTTTTCTACTTGAAATAAAGGGTTTTATATTTTTTTTAAATTAAAAAACTCTTGTCTGACTATAATCACTGTATTCTACTTAAAATTTATAATTTTGATCCACCAGATTTTTTCTGTAATTATTATACTATTTAAAAATGTTTGTCTGACTAAAATCACCTTTTTCTACTTGCAATAAAGGGTTTAATATTTTTTTAAACTAAAAAAATTCTTGTCTGACTATAATCACTGTATTCTACTTTTAAATTTATATCTTTGATCCACTAGATTTATTCTGTAATTATTATACTACTTAAAAATATTTCTGTCTGACCAGAATCACCTTTTCTACTTGAAATAAGTAGTTGTTTATTAGTTACTATATTAAAAATTCTCGTCTGACTATAATCACTCTATTCTACTTAGATTTTCAAACCATTCGATTTACTCCATAATTTATACAAGATAGAAATTTCTTGTCTGACTATAATAATTTTTCTCTACTTTGGAAACCGAATTCTGTTTTTGTTTATTAAAAATTCTACTTAAAAATCTTAATTTTAATTTACTATAGATTTATTTTTTAATTTTTTACAAATTAAAAACTACATGTTTGACCAGAATTACCATTTTCTACAATGAAAAAAAATTTATTTGATTCAAATAACCTATTAATTGACTATTATCAATTAAATATTTACTTGAATCAAATAATATAACCTTTTTCTACTGTGGAAAATGATTCTGTTTTTTTTTCTTTTACAAAAAATGCCACGTCTGACATATAATCGACTAGTTCTACTTAAAACAGAAAATTTTGAACCAATCGATTTATTCTTTAATTTTTACCAAATAATATAATTTTCTGTCCGGACATAATTACCTTTTTCTACTTCAAATAAAAAGTTGTGTTTTTTGCTATCAAAAAATTCTTGTCTGACTATAATAATCAGTGTATTCTACTTAGAATTGAGTTTACTATCTACATAGATTTACTCTTTACTTTTTTCTAGTTTCAAAATTTACTGTCCGACTAGAATCACCTTCTTCTCCTTATTTAATATATTATTATAATAATATAATAATATAATAAAATATAAAAATAAATTATAATATTTTTTTTTTTTTTTTTACTATTAAAAATGCTTCGTCTGACTATAATCACTTTTATTGTCTCGAATTTCCTTTTTTTTACTTTGGAAAACAACTCTGCAACGTTCCATATGAAAAAATATTTATCTGACCTTAATCTCTCTATTCTACTCATCATTCCAAATAATTCGCTTTATTCCACTTTTCTCAACTATATATTATATTCACTATTCTTTTAACTAAATATTGAAAAAAATTTTTTTTTTCATAATTGTAATTATAAAACTGGATCTACTTTGAATATATTTCTTTTTTAACATTTTTAAAGATAAGATAAAAAAGATTGTTCTATTTTATTTGAAAAAATTGAATTGACTTTTTAATGTGTAATAAGATAAGAGGAAATTGCAAACAATCATTTTGAAAATAGAGATGATGCGAATCGAAAGCTTTAATCTGAATTACTATCGTTTCGAGAATATAAGAGAAACTCGGGAATTGTATAATACTCGAATTTACTGACAATGTAATTTACATTCTATGCAATTTAAAAAAAAGTTATTAGAAATTTATTTTCTTTCTAAAATTCATTTTAAGTAATAAATTTTTTTTAAATTGTGTAAAATTTGTAATTGTAAATTAAATTCAGTTCAATTCAATTAAGTTAAATTAATTATTATTAAATTGTAAAAATAAAGTTATTTTCACTTAGTTCTTAATTTTTATTAATAATATTCATATATTTAATAGAATATTTATTATCACTACAAAATAATAATAGAAAGTTTTTTTTTTCGTTTCAGACACTGTGCCATTTTTACAATTCTGTGGGTATCAAAAACTTGTAGCCGAGAGTACGCACCACTCACGGAAGGTAAATACTTTTAATAATTAATAATAATAATTATATAATTTATTATTAATATTAATAATAATAATAACATTGATACCTAACAATAATAGTGTTAATAATATTAATATTGATAAGAGCAACAATAATAATTAATAAAAAAAAATAATAATAATATAATAATAATTGATATAATTCTAAAATAAAAAATTCTTTGAATGATAAAAATAATTTCCCATTAGAGAGAAGCAATCAAGAAATACCTATCTCTTGATCATATGAATTACAGTGTAATTACAGTAAAACTAATTTAAATAAATATGGAAGAGAAATTTTTTAAATGCAAAAAACAGTTTAACGGAAAAATTCTCTCCTTCAAACAGAATTTTTTAAATCAGAGAAATTAGATGAAATGTTTTTCAAAGAAAATTTTAACTTTCTTATTGCGAAATTTTTCTTAATAAATTTTTTAAACTCACTCTGATTAAAAAATTTATTTCATTCAAATAACCGTTTACTTGTCTAATATCAAATTAAATATTTACTTGAATCAAATAATTTTTATATTTAAATCCAAAAAATTATATTTTAATCAACAATTTCAGTATTTAATTCAATTAGGTATTATCATTTCATTGATTTAAATCAAAATTATTTGATTCAAGTATGTAAATATTTATTTAATAATACTAATAATATATATATAAAAATTATTAATAATATTATTTTATAATAATAATATTAATAATTAACTATAATAATTTGATTATGATTGATTATAATTTGATTTGAATTATAAGAATATTGTTACTAAACTTCATCAAAATTATTTTCATCATTTTAATTCAATTATTACTTTCTAGGATTTTAAATTATTTTTTATGAAAATAATTAAATTTCTTAAAAAACAATTATTATTTATAAAAATAATTGAATTTCTGTGAAATTTTTATTATTTATGAAAATAATTAAATGTTTGCATACAAATTTATTAACAAATTTTTTAAATAATTGAATTCTTTTTGAGAAATTTTATTAAAATAGTAGATATTGATAATAATTGAAATTAGAAAAAATTTTAAAAACAATTGAAATTAGGACTAGAATTTTTTTTGACATTTATGAAAATAATTGAACTTTTGAGAAGAATTTTGTCATTTATAAAGATAATTGGGATATTTACGAGAATTTTTTTCAAATTTTGAACACAGTTCAATTTTATAAGAAGAATTTTTTATTTTATTTTTTAAAATAATTGAATTTCTGCAATTATTTGTAATTACTCCAAAATCGAATTTTTTTTAATGTTTTCAGCAAAAATTTAAATTAGAAAATTTTTAAATTCTATTATTTTTAAAATTGTTATAATTTTTATTTAAGGGGAGAGTAAACCTATATTTTCAACTACATGAAGAAAATATTTTAAATATTTAATAAAATTATTTTTACAGTAATTCTTTGAGAGGAATTCAACAGTCATAAAAATAAATTGGTCAGAAAATATATTGACCCTTTTTGAATTTTTGTTTTTTCTAAAAATTGATAGACTTTGAAATCCATATGTAATTTTGTAGAAAATATGTTTTTGTATTCATAAAAAAATTGTCAAATAAAAAAATTAATATTTACAAAACATTTAGCATTTAAAAAAAAAAAAAAAAAAAATGGTTTTCAGGTTATGAATTTAAAAAAATATGATTATTATTAAATTTTATTATAAGAAAACTTATTTGTTTTTATGTTTTGAAATTAGTTAGAAAAAAACAAATGAGTTTTTTTATAATAAAATTTAATAATAATCATATTTTTTTAAATTCTTAACCTGAAAACCATTTTTTTTTTAAATGCTAAAACTTTTGTAAATATTAATTTTTTCATTCGAGAATTTTTTAATGGATACAAAAATATATTTTCTACGAAATTACATATGAATGTCAAAATTTATCAATTTTTAGAAAAATAAAAATTCAAAAAGGGTCAAAATATTTTCTGAACAATTTTTTTATGACTGTTGAATTCTTCTAAAAAAATTACTGTAAAAATAATTTATAATTAAATATTTAAAATATTTTCTTCATATAGTTGAAAATATAGGTTTACTCTTCCCTTAAAAATGGCAGTAAGAAGTTAGCCACGCGAATTCTAGTATCATTTAATAATAATAATAATATCATTTAATAATAATAATAATAATAGGAATAATAATAAACGGTTATTCGAGTCAAATAAATTATTTTCAGCTTAATAATATTGGAAAAATTTTGTTCAGAGAAAAACTGCTTTTTTGTATTTGAGATAATTTTTATACTATCTGACAGTAGAGCAGATTTTTTTTAAGGATTTTCTTTTTTAATGAAGAGAAAAAGAAGAGTAAAAAAAAATTTCTTTTCTGTTTAATAATAATGACAGTAGGTATTATTATGTTTTAAAATAATGATAATATTATTGTTATTATTTTTTTGAATAATGACAATATTATTTTTGAAGGAGTGAAAAATGAAAGAGGAACAAGTGAAAGAAAGAATGAAAAATTCATTATAATAAAGTCAAGATATATAAGGATTCTTGACAAAAGATTGTTTGAAATGAAAACAAGCAAGTATGTTTGTTATACTCTTTTTTTTTCTTTTTTTTTAAAGTATATATATAGTACTTATGAGAGTTGAGGTCAAGAGGGCTTATTTCGAGACATCGAAACTAGTCCATTGTATTTTCTACCTCTATTTCTCTCACTTTCTCTTTCTCTCTTTCTCTCACTCTCTTTCTCGTTTGCATGTTGCATCTTTGGAATTTACTGCAATTCCCACCAGTAACGCCCTTATCTCAAATTGAGATTCACTAAAGTAGTGTATAATTGCTTTAGGATGACGTACGTTTATATGCGGCTCATCGTAAAGGGACACTTTTACGACTTTGCCAACCCCAATTTCAATCCCATTAACATTCAATTTATTTGATATTAATTATAAAATTAAACTATTATTATTTTTTATATTCTGTGTGTTTTTAATTTTTTTTAATTTTTTATACTCTATGACTCTATGAATTTTAGTATTTTGATTTAATTACTTTATTTAAATAACCAGCATTACTACACGCGCGCGTAAAATTTTAACGACCGAACTTTTTCACTTGGCAAATTAAAGAGAATTTTTAATTTTTTTTTAAATATAATTTTACGAACTGCTTTTTTTAAGGGCATTTGAAACATTTTGACGTCACAATTTGTTGAAAGCATTACTTTTTAAAACTGTGACGTCAGAAGGGTTTAAATTCCCTTAAAACTCAATGTTATTTTCGAAATTTTCAGTTAGAATTCTTCTAAAATACGATTTTATTTCAAAATAATTTTTAAAAGTAAAAAAAAATAAAAATCATTAAAATATAAAATTTATTACAATTAAATATGACAAAATTATCAGTTGCTTCAATTCCTTAAAATTATTTTCAGAAATTTATTATTGTCTTGAAAAAAAGTTTTAAATACAATTTTTATTCAAAAACCTAATTCTTTTTGGAATTTTGAAATTAAATTATTCAATATTTAAATAATTTTTATTGATAAAATATTTAAAACATTTATATTTCTACAAAAATAGAAATTTTAATGAAAAGACCTTTTGAAATGTAAATGAGAACTGCAATTTTACCAAAATTCAATTATTTTTTTAGAATTTAAAAAAGAAAAAAAATTATTTAAAATAAAAATAATTATTATCCTAATTCGACTATTTTCTAAAATTTCAACTAAAATTTAAAAATCAATTCTTGTATCAGAATTCAACTACGAAAATTGAATTTTATTGAAATTTGACAAAGTTTCCAATTTAAAAATTTTTTTAAATTATTTAGCGAATTTAACTATCATCAAAAAAATTTGATTTCATATTTTCAAAACCCATAATTTTTTAAAGAATTTCTAAACTAATTTTTTCAAATTTCAATAATTTTTGTAAAATAAATATTTAAATACTTCTTGATATTTCTTTGTCCACAGTAATTAAAAATTTGAAAATACTTTTAATGTAAAACCTTTTGAAATTTAATTATTTCCAAAAATTAAAACTGCAATTCTTCCAAAATTCAATTATTTTTTTTTTAGAATTTTTAAATACAATTATATAAAGTAGCTTAATTATTTTATAAAATTTTAACTGAAGTTTCTTCTTTAAATCAATTCTTATCACAATAATTCAATTACAAAGATTCAATTGTTCGAATAAAAAAATAAATAATTGAAAAAAAGTTTATTTTACATGAATATTTATTTGAATTGTTATTATTTGAATTTATTTACTCTCCAAATCTGAATTCGTTAAAAATAACAAATTATTGATAAATTCGTGACTGATTTTTTACTTCAGTAATTAGTAAAAAAAATTTACTAATTATTAGTAGAAAATACTATAATCAGTAAATAAATAACTACAAAAATAGTCAAATTTTACTAATTGAATTAGTTACCAAAAATTTTAGTTATTTTGCCATAACCTAAACGCGAATTTAACTAATAATTAGTTATTATTAACTATTTTTAAATATCAAGAAAATGATTTAAATTTTCTAAAAAATTATTTTTATAGCAATTTTTTGGAGTGGAAATCAGTGGTCAGAAAATATTCTGACCCTTTTTGGATTTTTATTTTTCTTAAAAATTCATAGATTTTAAAATACATTCGTAATTTTTGCAGAAAATATGTTTTTGTATCTACAAAAAAATTTGCGAATGAAAAAATTGATTTCTATAATTATTGAAGCATTTTTTTTTGGAAAAAAACTTTGTTTTTGAGTTGAGAATCCTAAAAAATACCATATTGTTATAAATATTATTCAATTTTTTTATATGGAAATTTATTTGTTTATTTGTCTAACTAATTTCAAATCACAACTTTTTAAAATAAAAAAAATATAAAATATAAAAAAGTTATGATAAAATTATGATTTAAAATTAGTTAGAAAAATAAATAAGTGAATTTTCATATAAAAAAAAATTTATAACAATGATATTTTATTTTCTGACCATTGATTTCCTCTTAAAAAATTATTATACCTAAAAATAATTTCACTGAAGATTTAAATAATTTTCTTGATATAGTTAAAAATCTGGGTACAATTTAGAAAAAAATAATTATTATTTATAATAAAGTCTTTAACGTCCGAGTGATTTTAATAATAAGATAAAAATAATTAATAAATATAAATAATTAATTATATTTCGAAATTGTTATTTTCATTGAATTATTATAGGAATTAAATTAAATGACCTGTAACAATAACAATAATTCACTAACAATATTAAGTAGAAATAAAAATAATAATAATGATAATAATAAGCAAATGTAATAATATTATAAATTTATGTATTAGAATTATAAGTATTATTTTATAAACTTAAATTATTAATTAGGTAATTTAATAATTATTAATTAGGTTTATTAATTAGGTAATTATTTTATTTTCGAGACATCGAATAGTATTACTAAATTTTTTTTATTTTCAGCATATTTATATATCTATGTTTCAGAAAATATTAGGTTTTTTAATTACATTTTCTCTTCCCCCTTTTTTTTCATTTAGGAAGTGTATAATAATTATTTAATTTCGAAAATTCACTAAAAATATTAAATTAAATTCGAAAATTCACTAAAAGAATTAAATTACTATAAAAATAATATGCCAATGTAATTATTTCAATTCAAATGTAAAATAAAAGGAAAATAAAAAGAAAAAGAAAAATTTCTTTAAATTTTGAAACACATTTCTGCTTGATTAATTAGGATCACACGCCTGTGTCGTGTGTCGTGAGGATGGAAATAAGACAAGATGTTACAATAAAGGAAACACACACGATCTCACTGGAATTGGAAGGTGGAAATTGTCAACAACAACGTACGAAAATTGTCATGGAAAATGGATAGGTGGTACAACAATGCACACAAATTGTGATTCAGTTGTGTGTCAAGACGATCTCTTTTTTACATTTGTTTAATATAATTTCACTCTCAAAATTAATTACTGTATAATTATATATTACATTATAATTATATTACAATAATATCGTATTTTTTTTTAATTTAATTTACAAAAAGAAAAATTCTTTTTCATTTCAGCAAAAATTAATAAAAACCAAACAAAAGGGTATAAATATTTATACCCAAAATATAAAAAATAATCTCCAGAAAAAAGGAGACATTTTTTATTGTTTATATATTGTTTAAAATTTTAAATAGTAAACAATGAGTAATGTGTTATTTATTATTTACATATTTGGCTAAAATATTGAATAATGGATAATGTATTAATTATTGTTTATTATTCTAATTACGTTTGTTATCAATTCACTTGAAATTAATATTCAAACAAAATATGTTATTCTACTGTTTCCATAATTAATTGTAGAGCATTTATAATTAAATAGAATTGATTTTTTTTTTCGTTTTCGAATTATTAATTAAATTTTTATTCGAAATTTCTATAATTAAATATTTATTAGATTTTAATTTATCATTAAATTTATCCACTGGTACTTTTCTATTTTTTTCTTTGGATTCAAAAATTTCTTTCCTATTATTAAATTTAAATTATTGTGAGAGAAGAAAATTTGAAATTAAAAAAATAATTTTTAAAATGAATCGTAATGAAAATTTTACTATTTTTTAATTATATTATTATTTTTATAGTTTCCTTATAGTTTCACTATTTTTTTATTTTCATTATTTTTTAATTTAATTTTAATTGTAATTTTTTAGTTTTATTATTTTTCAAATACAAATAAAAAATTCGATTTTTTTTATTATTTATTATTTGATTTCAACTAATGAAAATATTCAACATTATTATAGAAATTAGAAATTCAATTTCAAATTTTCTATGAGAATAGAATATTATTTTTTCAAAATCGAAAATATGACACCAATTATGTAAGAATAAACGATATATATATAATAAAAAATAAAAAAAAAGAAGAGGTTTAATTTTTTGTGTATATAATATAAAAAAAATAAGAATAAAAAAAAGTATAATTACCGAATACTCTATATTATATACATAATGATAAATATATTCTTTGTAAATACTTATGTATTTTACTGTATACTAAATAATACATAATAATAATAATTGACACACATCGCAAATGTAAGAAAAAAAAATTATGTAAAATTATTAAAAATTGGTGAAAAATTGAAGAAAAAAATAAAATAAAGCAAAGGTGACTGATGCACTGAAGTATAGTAAATAATAACACTCACTCACACACACACACACACACATATCAGTATTGATTATTGATTAACCAATGTCATCGAGATTGTATGATGCTTCATAAAAATAAATTGTATTTGAGTGCATGAACCTGTTGTGATAAAATTTGTGTCATTATTCACTGAAACAAGAAAAGAAAAAAAAAATGTGGTCCAAATTTAATCTTACTCATTTATCGTTGTGTGTATTCATGATTCTTCTCATTATAATGATAAATTTTATTTACCAACTTATTTCAATGCGAAATCCTGTGTCCTTTTTTAGAAATTATTATTTTTGGCACATTATATTATTTATTATCATTTTATTATTATCAACATTGTTATTTTTATTATTATTATTTTAAGGTCTTTATAATTTCTTTATAATAATTACACTTTAAATTTAAATTAGTAATAATGTTTACTAATTTGAATTAGTGACTGAATTTTTGCTTTTGAATTAGTAAATTTTACTAATAAATTAGTAGAAATTACTATTTATGAGTAAAATTTATTAATTATTAATATTATTATTGTTATTAATGTGATTATGGTCATTTTAGTTATTATTGTTATTGTTATTATTGTTATTTTTGTTATGTTTGTTATTTTTATTATTTTTTGTTATTTTTGTTATTTTTGTTATTTTTGTCATTTTTGTTATTTTTGTTATTTTTGTTATTATTGTTATTTTTGTTATTATTGCTATTATTGTCATTATTCTGATGATTGTTATCTTTGTTATTGTTGCTATTATTGTTTTTGTTATTGTTTATTCTATTATTATCATTTGCTCTATTATTATTGACTTTATTATTATTATTATTATTATTATTTTAATTATCACATTTTTCCGTTACAATATTTTTATAATCATCATTTTTTTCTCATTTTTCCTTTTTAGATTTATTTTCACTCGATTTTTTAATTTGATTGATGCCAGGGAGAAAAGTGTATCATAAAATTGACGCAAAATCACTAGTGAAACAAAGAGGTAAGTTCATTTAAATTATAAAAATTATATTATTTTATTTAATATTTAAAATTTGGTTTAGAAGGAATTTTGTTTCGCTCGAACTCGCGTCTCGAAAAAAAGAAGCGCGTGAAATATTTTCATCGCAGCATAATTATTATTTTATGAATAATTTAATTACATATAGTTAATTAAAATTTCATTAATGTTTCGTTGGAGGAAAATTTCTCTTATTAAAATATAATTTGACTTTTCTCTCAATTACGTTATTATGAATCAGACAAGACTCAATGTTTATGACAATATTAACATTAAAATATACGCTGATAAAAATTTAATTTTTTTTTTTGAGTTCATTTATAGAAATTAATTAAATATTCGTAATAATGAGAAAGTTGTGAGAAGAAGAATGTGGAAAACCAAATGGTTTTTTCATTTTTGGTTTGAAAATATAAATACTTACATAAAATTATTAAAATAAAAATAGAAAATAAATAAATGAATAAAATTATATAAATTTAGTAAAAAATATGTAAATAAAAAATAAAATACAGTCGAACCTCTCGGAATGCAACTTTATTTTAAAAAATTTTTTCCATTCAAAAATGCCAAACAAGAATTATTTTCACTTTGTTCCAGAATATTGTAAAAATATTTCAAAATCAAATTGTAAAACAATTTTTTAAGGATTGTTTACTGTAATAAAATTTTTAAAAATCGAGTTACATTCTTCTGACAGGCTTTACTATAATGAATAAATAATAAATAAATTATATATATATGAGTAATAAATAAATAGTAAATAAATAATAAGTAAAATAAAGAAAATAAATGAAATAGTGATAAATGATAAATAAAATAATAAACAAAATAGTAAATTAATAAATAAAATAATAAATAAATAAATAAATGAATAAAATTAATAAATAAATAAAATAATAAATAAAATAAATAAAAATATAAAATAAAAATAAAAATTATTAAATAAATTTAAAAATTAATTATGAGTAAAATATTTCTACAAAAGGTTATTTAATCTGCGAAATTTCGATTAAAAGCGTTTGTGGTTAATTAAAAAAGAAAGATTTGTCGAGAGAAAAAAAAACATCCGTTTCTTTCATTAACGATTTCAGTGGGTTTTTTCGGAAGAGTGGGAGGAGGGGGAAACGGTGAAAAATAAGAAAGACAATTACCGGAACTTGTGCGGTGTGTTTGTCTCCGTTGGAGCGCTTTATCGAGAAACCACTGTATCCTGTAAATTCCCTTATAAATTCGGAATTAAGCTCAGCTTTCTCTACCATTTCACATTCTGTTCGCTTAGAAAGAGTGTAAAATCTTCCTACGGAATTTTTTTCGGTACTTTTTCGTAAAATTTATTTTTTTTAATTTCAATTAAAAAATTTTACCAGAAAAAAATTTTATTTACCTGTAAAAACGAAAAAAGTTTTTAAATTTTTCGAAATTATTATTTTGATTTTCTAAATTAAAATTTTTCTTCCGCATTTCTCGAATTTAAATATTTTGAGATATTGTCGAGTAGTGTGTTTTTTTAAAAAATATTTTTTAAAAGAAATATTAAAATGGCTGCTGATAATTCCGCAATTCTTTATCTTTTCGATCGACCTGCTGAACCTGTTTATGTTCCGAAAGGAGAGCAACGCGTTGCCTTTGATATTCCACCAAATTATTTGGTATGTAGAGTAATTGATAATTATTGATACGAATTTTGATATCGGTAATTAATAAATGCTAATAATTTTGCATTGATAATGAAGTGAAATAAGGTTTTTATTGATAATTTCAAAAAACGTTGGAATTACAATTATAATTATTAATTTTATAATTTTTATTATTTTAGGATTTTTAGTTTTAATTTTTAGTAATTATTTATTAGATATATTGTTTTAATAGTTTTGTGTTTCAATCATTTTTGTGTTAATTTGAACTTTTCTTTTTTAATTATAAATTATTTTTTTCTTTAGTTTTGTTAATTTTAATTTTAAACTATTTATTATTGTATTTTTAATAATTCTTTGTTTTAATTATTTTTATTAATTTTAACTTTTCTTTTTTAGTTACAAATATTATAATTATTTCTTCAAGTTTAATAATTTAAACTTTTCTTTATTAATTACAAATTTTTAATTATTGTGATTTTAATCATTTTTTGCTTTAATTATTTTTTTTTTAATAATTTTAACTTTTCTTTTTTTACATACAAATTATTTATTTCTTCGAGTTTAATAATTTTTCGTTTTTTTTTCTTGTTTTAATATTTTTAACTTTTCTTTTTTAATTCAAAATTATTTATTTCTTCAAGTTTAATAATTTTAACTTTTAGTTTTTATTGACAAATTATTTATTTCTTCGAGTTTAATAATTTTTTGTTTTTTTCTTGTTTTAATAATTTTTTAACTTTTCTTTTTTTTCGAATTATAATTAAAAAATATTTCTCTAAAATTTAACAGCCGGAAAAGTATCGAAATGTGGCAACGGAAGTCCTGACTCGTTATAATGACGATACAAAATTGAAAGTCCCGGTGAAGAATATCTCAATTCCAGATTTAAGTGTTCCAATGCAATTAGGACGTCGCGAACAATTTTCACTCTTTTTGCCGTTTCATCGTTCCATGGCTGCGAGATTGATTGATATTTTTATAAGTAAGTAATTTTTTTAATTTAAATTTTACTTTTAATATTAATTTTTTTTTTTCATTTAGAAAAATTGAATCTGAAAAAAAATAAAAATTTGACAGAAAATAACTTTCGATTAAGTATGGAAAATATTCTAATTTTCCAGCGAAAAGAATAATAATTATAATTAATTTTAAACATAAAATAGTAGTTAATAAATTATATTAAAAACATAGTAGAAAATTT